CCCCCTTAGGCCCCACCCCCCGCCGCCCGCCCTGAGCTCCCCCCTCCCGCCTGTTCGGTGCAGTGCAGGGTCTGCGAGTCCGAGGACCGGGCGTCGCAGGCTCGGCGGCGCCCTAGCAGTACAGTGCTCTTCCGCAGTGCGGTGCCAGCGCGAGCTGGGAGCCCGTTCACGCCGCCCCTTTTTGGGGGTGTCGAGGAACCATTTCTGAGGCCACAAGGGTGTCGCAAGTGGAAGGAGGCATCCCGGCCCGCACACCACCGGCCTGCCGTTGCCAGTCAGGGAAAGTCGCCAAGCTCACCTCCCTGGTCGCGGCCACCGGGAGTCCCTGGGTGCAAGTACGTGCCGCGGCACAGGATCCCAGGGACCGCCCTGCCCGCCCCATCTGTTCGACTCGCGCCCCGGGCCGCTACCTTTTCTTCTCAGTGGCCTCTGCTTCGCCGTCAGCCCCCCTCACCCCATCAGACAACGGTGTGGGCTGCCCGCCCCTCCCCCCAGCACAGATCCCCAGCTTCGCCCCGGCCCACACGCGCCGACGCCCCCTGCCCCGCCCCCGGGCACAGCGGCGGCCACGCGCGACAGTCAGGGCCGTGACCAGGGCGACTCAGCGGCGTCTACCGTCAGAACTGGCGGGCAGGCTCAGTAAGACCTCTGCTGGCTGCCGGGTGTACGGTAGGCTGAGTCCTCCCGCGCAGACAGGACACCCGCGTGTCAGGGGTGTGCGCAGCGCCCTGGGATAAGTGTGCAAGCCGATTTCCGCGCTTGCAGCCCGCGTTCCAGTCGCCTGGGCTTGCTTTGCCAATCAATCAGTGCGCCCCGTGATTTGCGTTCAAGCTGCTCCATTTGTAAATCACACCCTCTCCCAGTCGGACCACCTCCTCCCACGCCCGCCCTGTCCTCCCGAAAGCAATGGCGTGTTTCTTTTCTAGAGGACCCGCGCGGAGCTTTGCCATCTCTAGCTCGTGCCCGCGGGCCCAGCCTACGAGGGCCGGCGCAGGCGCCCGGTGCTGTCTGTGGCTGCGGGCCGGTGCGGGGTGGGAAAGGAGACCCGGATCCCAGACCCCGCCGCGTGGGAAGGGGTCGGAGGGCGAGTGAACCCCGCCCGCGCGCCGCGAGTGCCCCCACTCCCCTTCCGCGCTCCCGCACTTACCCTGATGGGTCCCAAACTGTGGCCCCGGGAGCTCACTCCCGGCGGAACTGCCCCGCCCAGCGCCCGCGGGCAAGGTTGGAGCCGGAGAGGCGCCGCCAGGTGGGCTCCCCGGCGGGTCTGGACCCTGCAGCCCCCGCCCTCCGCTCCGGGGCGAGTCCCCAAGGAACTCGGCGGGACGTGGGGGCAGGGCGGGGGCGCCCGAGAGTCCAGGGCCGGGGAAGGGAGCGACTCGCAGCCAGCAGCAGCCTCGGGTGGGGACGCCGCGACTGGGGCGTACCTGGGGCGCTGAGGCCGGCGGCCGGCTGCTGGGCTGCAGGCTGTCCCGCGTCGAGGCTAAGCGCACTCCCATCCCCGCCGCATGTTGTCCGCGCGGGCTCCGGCGCGCTCACCGCCGCCACCGCCGTCGTCTCGGTTTTATTTACCCAGACAGGCACGCGTGGCCCGGGAACAGGAATACTGAGGTCTTCTCATGTTTCCTGACTGCCGGGGCCAGCCGGCGAACATCCTACGGGCGCCACATCCACATTCCCGGGCCGGCGAGAGGAAGCCTCCGCGCCCGCCCGGCTGCGACCGCCGTTAACCCTCGCAGAGGAGCCGCCGCTGCCGGCGTCTCCGGGGACACCCCGGCCGGACGAGTCCTGCCCAGCGAGGCCCTGGGCGCGGAGCAAAAGGGGCGATTTCCTTCTCACTTAGGGGCGAAATTGGAGTAGCCGCGAGGAGCGCCTGGCTCCAGCTCCGGTAGCTCGGAGGCTTTGGGGCAAACCCCTCATCTAAGCTGACCCGAGAGCCGGAAATTTCACCGCACGTGCTCAGGCTGGCGAGACCACTACCCCGCGTCCTGTGTTTTCCTCAAGATCAGTTGGAGGAGAGTTAACCAGAGCTCGTGGTTTAGTCTGCACCGCGTGGGCTTATGGCAGGGGGTGCTTGCTCCCGCAGGGAGCCTCGTTTCTGCCGTCACTGGGCTTGAGACCCTGGCGATCGCAGTTAGGCACCGTGCACCACCCCGGACGACGCTGGAGACGCCGTGTTAGCAGCTGGGCGTAGGGGTGGAGGGAAGCTAGGTGAGCCCAGGTCGCCAACCCCAGTGACCTGTGGTAGAGGTGGGGAGCCCAGAGCCAGGGAGGTGCAGGAAGCTGCGGGGATGGAACTCGAAGCCCCTGCTAGGACTCTGCGCGAGAAGAGAGCTCGCCTGTCCGATTCTCCTGGTGAGGCTTGGCTTCCCACCATCACCTCAGATCTAAATGCTGTGGCTCCCATGAATGAGTTTACAGAAGCTCAGCGCTTCTGTCTGCGGGAAAGATCCCTTCGCGCCTAGCAACCTCAGGTCCGCTTTCTCGCCGCCCGCCTTGCCGCCGTAGAGACACCTTTCTTTCTTTTTCATTGTTAAGAAGGAAAAATTTCTCTCAACCTGGAAATAACAG